TGTTAAGCATTTAATATGGGCTACTTTGTAGCTACTTTGAATGGCAAAAGTAGCTACACCCATCTTATTCACCATTTAATGTACTAAAACATACACTTTATTTGGTAAGTATATATATTTTTTTAAATCTTTTTGTTTGCACTAGGCCACCTACACATTACACCAACAGGAGCTGCTCCACCCTGGAAACCCGTGAGCCATGAAGCTCCCGGCACACAGTTTTTGTGCTGATGTTAATGACACAGGAGTTACTGAGTCAGCAAAGTGCTTGTGGTGACTTTAACAAAATATGTGCCTCAGTACTCAGCAACCCCGCTCTATAACGCTTCCACTTTACAGTAATATCACATCATGTAGTATCTGGGAGGGAAGAAATTTCACAAGCATATTTTTGCATAGTGGCATCCTATTACAGCATCTCATTTAAATTTAGTAATGCTAGCTCTTGAAAACTTTTTTTTTCTCTCACAAATGTTTGTAAAAGCAGACTGCATGGCTAGGTGTTTGATTATATACACATGTGGCAGTGGGATTGGAAACACGTGAATTCAAAAATTAAGGGTTGTGACCAATGTTATCTATATAGTGTACCTTCCAGTGTGGTTTGCTATATAGTTTACTGTACTAGCATCCCATCCAAAAAGTCCCTGCTAAGATTTTGGTGAGTTAAATTCTACAATTTCCTGTGTTCATTACTCAACCCTAATCAGCAGGTATCTGGATCCATGCGTGCACACATACACTTTATTGATACTTTATTGATACCCTAACCCTTGGTTGGATAATAGATTGGGTAGTAGGCTAACCAAGCTAGCATGCTAACCAAGCTAGCATGCTAACCAAGCTAGCATGCTAACCAAGCTAGCTAGCATTAGCTGATAACAGTTCACCCTCTTGTTTAAATGTGGTCACTTCTGACTATATTTAAAAAAACAAAAACAAAGCAAAAACAACAAGGTGAAAGCCATGTTGAGAATTTTAAAATGGGTGGGTTTAAAATGCCCAGACACTTATGTCTTTTATGCAGTTTATGCAGTCAACAGGCAGCCAGAGGCACACACAGATGGGCAGTGCCTTTATCTCTTCATTCGCTTCATCAGATTATAGATGTTTGCTTTTCCGCTTTGTCTTATTCTCTCTCTGTTTCCTGCTTTCTATCAAGTTCTCCACCCACCCACCATTTTCACGCATTCATATACTCAGACGCACACACTGACCGTAGTGTATAACATGACAGTTTTCCGCAGACTGCTGTGAAGGTCGGTAACAACCTGCCTACAAGTTTCCAAGGTGACTGAGCGATCTGCAGAGAGAGATAGAGAGAATGAAAATCAGCACGCACACCCAGGAGCAAAAATAGCACAAACACAAGCGTGAGCCGTTATCGAGCGAGGTAGGAGAGCGGTAAACGTTGTGCAAAAGGTTGAAGAGCATATAAGGAAAAAAGAGGGAAAAGTTGGTATCAGAAAAGAAACAAACAGGTGAGGAGGTTGCTGCAAAAAGCTGCAGAGCTGTAACAGTGTAAACTAAGAAAACTGATTTCCTAGTTTATATCATCCAGCAAAACACATTTTCAGGTACAGAGCTGCTATCACTTAATGCCATTTAAGGTTTCTGTGTTTTTCAAATTGAAATGAAGCGAAAAGAAATTCCTGGCCTTTGAAAGGCGCTTATCATTCAGGGAACAGCCGGTAGGGAAGTATGACGAAGGAGATGGAGTTATTGTAAGATTCACCAGAGCACTTTAAAACTATTAGATACCTTTTATTTACTGAGCGAGTGAGCAATGTGAGGAAAACTCTGCACTGCCCATTAACTGAGGCTTTGTATTTGACGTCACAGCAGAGTCTAAGTAATATTCAAATTCACCTGCAAATTTCCACAGATAATGGAAAACAGTATCTGGTGTGCAAACAAACGTTCATCCTTTTCAGGAAGTACAAATGTGCAAATATTATGAAAGTCATCCATATTTTGATATTAGCGGGAAGCGAGAAGAGGGCTAAAGACAAAGAAGCTAAAGGAATGAATGTAACAAAATGTAACAAATATAAATGTAACAAATAGCAGATATTTAAAACTTGTTGTTCTGTCATGTGTCGTCCTTGTAAAGGTCTAACTGGAAGCAGGCAGATAATATGACACAGATAAGACTGACAGGCAGTACTGAAAAACATCAGGGGACGGAGCAACAAATAAGAGGAGGGTTGGTTAAAGAAGTCGTGGGAGGACAAACCTGGCTGTGGGCTTGATGTGTGGGCCTGTTCAGGCACCAGAGGGCACTCTTTAGCTACAGCCACCTGACCTGGCTCCTTGGCACTGGGAATAAAAGCCAGAAATGTAAGTCAGTTGCAGTGGCAGTACTAATTCTTGTATATAAGATACCCAGAACTGAACAGATACAATGAACAAATACTACTGCAGCCAACTCATAGTGTGTATGAAGCAAATAACTAGCAATTTGATGTGCGACTGTTAAAAAACATCTAGCAAAGTCTTCACAAGTGATGTAAAACTTCACCTCTCAGAAACTGAGTCCCTTTTCTGCTTCACAGGCAAAGAGGAATCCAAACTTAGAGACAGGTGCCTGCCTAATGCTGAAAATAACAAGATAAAATCACGTTCAAGCACACAGTTAGCCGATCGGCTCCTTAGCTCTGTGGAGACATTAAAAAGTACACGACTGGCCGGCGTTCTGACCTTGTTTGTTTAGTGGAGTAGCTCTATGGTGACATCCGGGGTCTGTTGTAGGAGTAGAAGCCCTGCTGATACTTCCAGACCAACTTGAGCTTGGCTTCACCTCCAGGCACAGGCTGCGTCGAGGGCTGAGCGGCTGCTTAGGAAGTGGGATGCGAGAAGGAGGGACGTTCTGGCTGACTGTAGGATGAGGTGGAGTCAAGGAGGGACTGTTTAATAGTGGAAGGGACGATTTTGACGGCGCAGAGGGTGGGAAAATCAGGACAGGAGATGAGGCGAGCACGGGAGGCTCAGTTTCTACCTCCACAGACGACCTCCTCCTCTTGGAGAAGAAGGGGGAGCCTGGCGGGGTCATTATATGGACGGCATCTCCAAAAGAGGAGGACCGGTTTTTTGCCACAGAGCTAGCAGTGGGGTTCATGTAAGAGTGCTGGGGCTTGAGTTTAGGGCTCTCCCACGGAAGTGGGGACTGGGATGACTGTGGGGACCCAGAGGAGTGTGAAGAAAAGCACGAGGAAGGTCTGGGAGAGGGTTCATTGAGGAAAAGCTGCTGAGGTCTCTTGTGCAACTCCATCTGGTCACTAGAGGGCAGAGGGGAGGAAAGAGCTGCAGAAAAAGACAGTGAGAACATTAATATGACTAATTCTAAGAAAGTAGAATTCAATTACGCGTGCTAAAGTGTTATGAACTGATTCAGAAGACTACAAAGCAGTTACTTTCAACTCATGTGGGAAAATACACTGATTAATTTGGCAAATTTCAAAGAAACTGTAAGTCGGCAATGCAAATTATGTTTAAATACACTCTTGAGGCAGATTAACTTCCTCACAGTTGCCAGCGGATGGAATTACTGTAGTTCACTGAAAAATCAGACACAAACATTACAGGAACCACAGACAAATAAATGAGTGAACTGAAACGGGATCAAACGTACAGCGCGTGGCCAAGTCCTGGGCAGAGTGCGATTTTTGGATGCACGTCCTGTCCAGCAGCAGCGAAGCTTTGGGGGAAGGATTAGAAAACCTCCAGAGGTGGGACCCTGCCTTCTTCTGAGGTCTAAGCGCAGGAGGACTGCTTCTCTCCTGAGCCCTGCTGAGACGCGATACAGCAACTTTACCATCTGTTCACGGCGCGCGTGAGTATTTTAGTCACATGACTGGCAGGAATAAAGCACAGTGAAATGTCTGCTGTTGTGCTGACATAGCCTTGTGACACAGCATCTATCCCCCCGTGTTGTTCATACTGATCTTTTAGAATCATTTAGTGACTTTTATGCTTTTCGCAGATCCGGTTTTGCCTCAAAAATAAAACCCCCATGACTCCTCTTAACGTGTGTGTTTTCTTCTTACATTGGCCCTTGAGCTTTTCCAGGGGACATGGGACTCTGATTTTCTGCGTTCCCGCCTACGCCATCTTCCATCAAGGGCCGCACTTTTGACACCGGGGGCTTAATGGAGCGGCCGCCTTGTTCCTTCCCGTTCGCTTTGGCAAACAGAAGCACGTCTCTGCGCAGAAAGGTAATACCGGGTAAGAGAAGCAGATAAGTGAGACACACATTATTCCCCTAACGTATGTGCAGATTGCTATTACTCTCAGGTTTGTAAAGTCAATATGAAGCCTCATCCAGCAGTCAGTTAGCGTAAACTTTAAACAGGAGGCGGTTGCACTGCTTAAACAAGAGATACCATGTGAATTAGCGAGCTTTAGATGTGCTGGTAGGTGGATTTGGAGACTTCTGCAGAGAGCCGCCTCTTTAACAGTAGCTTAGACATGAGGGTGGAATCGTTTAGCCCCCAAAATGTGAAGCTGTTTACACTTAAACATCTCCACCTCCGAGAATAAAAAAGAAAACAATTTCCTGCACAAAATCACCCGTAGAGTTAAACTGACAGCTTGACTAGACAGGGAAAGTACACAGCGGCGTGTGAGAGTCCGCATGGGTTTGTAATTATAGCTGTTGAATCCACATTGGTCTGAAGTGGTCAGGCAGTACCGGTTATTATGTCCTCCGGCCAGGAAGCGTGAAGACATACTGAGCCTCGGGACGCTGCTCTGCTCAGCTGTGGATGGACATCAAGAAAAAACAGAAAGGAAGAAAATTGAGATGGAGGCAGGAAGTAGAAGTGAGACTGAGAGGATAATCAGTGTCGACCGTGTCTGAATTTGCACGTGAGGTCATTTAAAGACTTCTGGGAAAAAAAGCAATAATTCTTTTCTCCGTGTCTGGAGGTGTTAGCCACAAACAGGCTATACATTAGTCATAACTAGACATCAAAAGGGTATCAATTTTCTGGCTCCCAACAACAAAGAGAATAAGGTTATTTCCCTAAAGCTCAAAGCACGCCTGTCTGTGTGTTCTGTGTTACCTGTAGTGCAGCCATCCGACAGCGTCTCAAAGTTCCGCTTGAGGAAATCCGCTCGATCGCATCCGCCACCGTCCGTTATTGTCCTGAGAGCCTCGTCCATGCTCGTCACCCCTTCCCTTCGCTCCTCGTCCTCCTCCTTCTCGTCGTTCTCCTCATCCGAGCTGTCCTGACTCAGATACTCTGCCTCTGCAGGATCTGAAAGCGAAAGCAAAATTAGACGCAGCAGAGACACAAGTATGACAGAGAAGACAGAGTCTTCAGTGGCCTTGATACAGCCCTTACACGCAGGGAGAGGGGGCAGCAGGTACTCTGTAATCCTTAAGAAATAACCAGCCTGGTAGTTTTATCTGACATTTCTCTTATCGAGCCTCGAAATAAAATGAAATAAATAAATAAAATCCACATCTCTCTGCACGCCCAAATCCCTCTCTGCAGGTATGAGCATCACTCTACATCGAAGAGATATTTTAAAGCTCTCCTGGACATTTTAACTCGTGATTTGAAATCCTGCGTTTGGCACACTTCAGAAAGAAAACCTGAGACTGAGCACAGGCAGGCAGAGAGTACTGCAACATGAAAAAACCTCACAACGTGAAGAAAGCTCACATTTTTTTAGCATTATAAATATACAAAGACCTCTCAGTTATGCTGCAGTATCTGGTCCGGCCTTATGGACTGAAAAGGACGGAAAGCCGATTATGAGGGCGGTCAGGAAGCCCGTTCTCTCTCTCCCTTCACATTCCTGTGACTGCAGCAGCAGTTTGAGTGGCTTACGCTCATGTTATGCATTTTTCTTTTTTAGTTTTGTTACATTTAGTTTTGATGTTGGATTAGCTTAGATCAGATGTGGGGAATTAATCTCCCCGAGGGGGCGATATGAGAAGCTGGGACTGTTTTTTGAGAGCTGTAACAGGGATGTACACCAGGCTGGTCAGAGTGGCAGCAGTTTAATGTTGCTGATGGTTTATGGTTAGACTTTTCCTAGTTTTCTTTTGCTTCTTGTTCCTAATTATTTATTAAAATTTGAGGGAACTGTGTGGCTTATTTCAGTTCTGTAGAATCTCTTACAGCGTGGAGATAGACATACTGGGGGTTGTAACATATTTTTAAGGTGTTTAGACTTCTTGTGTTAGTTTTTGTGTTGAAAAACTGCAAAATCCTGATGAAAGTATGTAAATAATGTATGTATGTTCTCACCAGGGCATAAGCATGAATGCATCTAAAGCAGACAGTCTCCTGTCGTGTGCTACTTGCTGAAAAAGTGCAACTTTGGACACTGTGCTTTACACGAGCTTTTGCACAAAATACTCTTTTTTTTAATGCTGCATGCATTCAGAGTGAGACCTCACCATCCAAAATATGATCTGGGCTGGACTCTCTGCTGTCATAATCCAAAGAGCAAGCGCTATCTGGGCTGCGGCTGTCCTGGCTCTCGCTACGGATCCCTCGTCCTTGCATCCTGCAGTAATCGCTGATGTAACGGAATCACCGACGTGGGAGCAACGAGGAATGGGGAGGGGGGGTGCAGAAAGAGAGAAACAGCAAACTGAGAATAGAAAAGGACTTTTGTTGTCTTGCAGTGGCATTGCAATCAGTCGGGCAAAACGGTGCGTAGCAGGCAGAGGTTTACCTGCCCAGAGGACTTGTGTCGTCCTCCTTTTCCTCAGGATAGAGCACATCTGTCCCCTCGGTGTCCCTGGAAGTGTGCGAGGACAGCCAGTCGGCGTCCGGCCAGGGTCGATGTCTCCTGGGTCTCTCTCCCATCTGCAGAAAACGAGCAGTGCGATTATACACTCACGGATCCACACGAGCAGCTTCCTATATCTCCCTTATAGACAAACAGAACGTACCACAGGCTCTCGGAGGCCGAGCGAGCTCTGCCTCTCTCTGTCATGTGGGGGGAAGCTGGGGTTTTTCTGCGGAGCAAAGGTTTCCAGTTGCCTCAGGTCCAGCATGGATTTAACCATCACTTCCAATGAGCCCATACGATGAGACCAACGCCTCCGGGGACGCTTTGAGGACTCGGGGATGACTTGGCTGACGACTCCATGCTGGGAATATACATTATACACAGCACAGTACAATTATTCACCCTTTCCATCACATTTGTTGCTATGGAAGAAACTGTATGGCATCATTAACACAAAGGGATGCGTTTTTTTTTCCATTTTTGTTTTCTTTAATGGAATAAAAAGCAAATACTGCATGTTAGAATGCTTTAAGTTGTGCTTTCTTAGAATAGTCCAAAATGATTTCTTTTATTTAAAGTCATAACAAACATCTACCTTTGTCAGCTCCCAGTCCTGTCCTTCATCTGAGCCTCCTGTTGCAGGAAGGAGCACAATGATTACAAAGTTAATAGAGGAAGTCAGTTTAAAACAATTTTGGTTGTTTTCCAGATTCTGCTGCACTCTGCAAAGAAGCCGAATGTCAGGGCAGTGCACCAATGGAGGATTGTCGACCTATTACTAAACCCTTTTGACCTCAATGATGTAAAAAAAAACCCAAAAGCAGTTACCGCTATGTTTATTCATGTCATCAATTATCACACAGTACCTGTGTCCTCCTCTTCGTGGCTGCTGGCGGAAGAAGAATGGGTCGCGTTGTCTTCGGGGTCATTGGCATCGTCGTTCGCCGCGCTGTCGTCCTCCTCGTGTTCACGGTCGCTGTCAGAGGACAGACCCCCCAGAGCGGGAGCGCTGTACACCTCACGCCTGGGGTAACACAGCGAAAGAGTCAACAAGATGAATATTCTATCTGTGTTGCCATGTGATTATACGCAAAGGGGCTCGAGGTGGGCTCTTTATCATCGGCGCTGGGTTCGTGGAAAGAATGTACTCAATTAACAGGTGGAGGTGTGCTGGTGTCGTCACCTGAGACTGGAGGTTTTGCTGGGTGGCGTGTTTGGGTTTTCTCTGAGCTGGTGCAGCCTCTCTCTCATGGTGATCGTCAGCTCCGGGGACAGCCTCCACACAAAGATGCAGCTGGGGGAGATAAAAGCATTAAATATTCAAGATTTCATTTCAGCTCGGAAGCATCTGCAAACACATTTCCACAGCCGTTTCCTGCAGCTGCAGCGGCAGAAGATTGCTTCGGCCTGGGTGCGAGGACATCACTGAGAGCCGTTTCTCACCTATCTCCCGATACAGAAATCAAATGCCGGCAATCGCTGGTAAACTTAATCCCAGTGACGATTTCTGCCAAACAAAAACAAGAAAAAAAAAGGCTTGTTAGCTCTCATTATGTTCTCTGTCATTGTGGTTAGATTTATTCTGTGATAGCTGCGTTACCAGAATGTCCAAACATAGTGGCCACACACTCCCCGGTGTAGAAGTCAAAGATGCTGATGGTTTTATCGGAGCAGCTGGTGGCCACGTATTGACCAGAGGGATCGATCTGAACCTGCCACACCCAACACGAAAGAGCCTTTTAGTATCTCTCTATATATGTGTCTGTATATATATATATATACAGACAGAGAGAAAAAAGGTGTTTCAACTGTGGAGAAAAATGTTACCCTGAGCAGACTTCCATCTTCACTCAAAGATCCTTTGTAGAGTTTTTTCTGTTTGCCGCTGCTGATGTTGAAAATCCTGCAGAGAGAAGGAAGAGATAAGCCCCGGCGCCTTTAAAGAACACGTTCCTAGCGAAGCTCGCGTATCTTTGAAGCCGCGTGCCCTCGCTTACCGGATGCAGCGGTCCTGACAGCCAACAGCGGCGTACTTGCAGGTGGCGTCTACGTCCATGTCGTAAAGCGTGGTCTTCCTCACCATGTGGTGGGAACGCCTGAACTCTGTTCCTCTGTCGGTCTGTGAAACAGAACGAGACAGCGTCAGGCCTGCGCCGGAGGAGGGTGGAGAAAATATCAGGGGTACTTTAGCAGAATGCATGATGTGACTTTTATTCTGAGCGTGCTGAACTCAATATAACCTGCAAAGAGAAATATGTGCAGCTTTACAGTCATTGAGCCAAGTCTCCAAAAGCTGCAGAGATGAGCTTGACTTGGGATCAATATCTGCATATTAAAAGGTGGGTATACAGCTAGCTGTTGCATACAATAATGGAGTGGGGGAAAATAGACTGAACATGTTTGGCAGTTAGAATAAGGTCAAAGTTTAGACCACAGAGAATCGGCTTTTGTGCATCACTACCATCATCATCTTCATCATCATATAGACATAGTCAGAAAAGGGGACTCTTTGCAGCTCATCCTTGAAAACGGCACAGAAGAAGCTCATTTCTGCTCTGCCGGAGCACAAACCTGTCACAACAACTTTCTAAAATGAGCACTCCATAAATGTCTGTACGCCAAAGAGAAGGTTTACTTCAGACTAACAAGCTCTTGTTTACTGCGCTCCGGAAAAAACAAAAATAAAAAAAAACAACTTAATGTTCTGAGTCACTGCAGTGGCCTAAATCCCGTCTCAAGTTTATGAAAAATGCTGTAAGTGGCCTGCTAACCCAGAAGCAATTCCTCCTTTTCTTTCTCTCTTTTTTTGCATTTCATAGTTATACAACTTGTAGCACAAAAGCTCCTTTTGTGGTCTGTGCTCTAGAATTGCTAAACAGATTGTGTTACCATTGTGCCAATAAGTGTGACCTAAATGAGAGGAATTAATGAAAAAAAATTGCAAATGCAATGAAGCTCTTTGTGGCCAGAATTAGTTATTCAGAAGAATATCGCAGGCTGTACTTTGACGAAGTCAGAATAGCTGCTTCACTGTTTCCAGTCTACAGTAAGGTGGCTGTTTCCTACCTTGTTAGCATTTAGCAGCCTGCATATACATTAGCTTTAACATTGGCGTTTGGCAGGACGTTCTGAGTGCTCGTGCTTTTGCGTGTGTTTGTTGGGTAATATCCAACATCTGACGTTACCTTGTGCGCTGTGCGGAAATAGATGCTCTTGTCTGCCCCACAGCTGATCATTCTCACCTTGTTGTCATTGGCTAAAGAACAAAAAACAAAAGCATTTAGTCATCGTGTCTTCATGCACGTCCAATCATCCAGGCAAGGAAATCCTAGAAGGTTGATTCTGTTCATCTAGACGGGACGTTTTCAGTAGGGGAAATTATTTGTGTGTGAAAAGTGTGAGAGGATTACCCTGTCCTCAACACAAGTGTGTCAGTGTTGAGGGCAGAAACATGGTGGCGCCGTGGGTTCCCCACTGGGGCTAATTTGTATATGGAGGAAGTAGAAAAGAGGACTCTATCATCCTACCCTGGGACACCACCGAGTCATCGGTTCACATATGTGGATAACACCTGGGTGAAAATCAAATCTCAGGATGTCCCACAATTCAGTGATCACATTAACTCAGTGAACAGACACATCGAGTTCACCAGGGAGGGTGTGAAAAATGACAGGTTAGCTTTCCTAGACTGTGAAATTCCTATCAGGAATGGACAACATTTGAAAGTCAATGGAAACAACCTCTGGCAGAACACAGGCCAGGACTCCACAGTCTATTTACATCTACAAGCCAGTGGCCGCTCTGTCAGTGGACAGGGAGGAACAGTAGTGGGGAGTCAAGGAGGCTATTTACGTGAAAAAGGAACGACCATCTGTGAACTGAGGGGGCCTAAGGGTACATCCACTATTTTACAGTGCTGTGATTACAGCTATACCCCAACTCTCTGTGAATAGCACTCATGGAGATTGATCAATGGTCGTGACAATTTGCATGTTAATGATCATGAAACTGACCTCACAGCCCATTGTTAGTCAGTGGTGCTGGTGTCAGTCATTATGCAAATGTAGTGTTTATGAGGTTGGAGAAACCTGCAGACAGCTGAGACTGAGAAGCCACACGAGCGATGCAACGTTTCTGCCACTGAAAATGCGACATCCAGATGAACGTTCCAGGATTTAGTCATCCTTTCATTCAAAAAACTGAAACCTGACCACAGAGACACCCTAATATTATACAGCAGCTTATTATACAATTGCACTTTGACCTTTTTAGTATGAAACTTACTTTTATGTTACCAAGATAAGGTTTTGCATGTTGTTTAAGAAGTTAGCTGGTTAGCTGAGCAATCTTGTCTGTTGCAAAATGGATACAAAGCTAAAGCTGACATCCCTGCACTTCCACGTAAATAGTGCAGAACTAGAGATGGAAATTTAAGCTATATGGACAAAATCACCTAAACATTACACCCACAGGAGCTGCTCCACCATGGAGACCCATGTCATAAAGCTCGGAGCACACAGTTCTTGTGCTGATGTTAATGCCACAAGAGGTTTGGAGCTCTGCAGTTATTGAGTTAGCTTCGTGTTCTGGCATCTTCTATGTAACATGTGACTGGTGTCAAGCCAGCCTCCAATTCCAGCATTGCAGTCAAGCCAGCCTCCACTTTGTTTTACGTTCCCTGTGTATTCGAAGTATTATGGCAAAAGATGTGGAAACCTGATTTCAAAATAAAAGCTCCTGAAGCATGACTTCTAAATAAAAGCCAACTCCCAGTAAATTAAGAGCACATTCACAAATATCAATTAGTCTTGTTTGCAAACTCTAATGTTGGATACAAATGACATACCCTAGAATACCCGTATTCTAGTAGCAACATGTCAATATTAAAGCCATCTCCTTTTGGATTTCAAAGTAAAAGCCCTGTTAATTTTCATTTTTGAACTACTCTTTCAATGACTTCAGAATGCTCTTAAAAGGAAAAGTCATATTTACAAAGACTAGTTGCATTTTATATCAGCACTATCCAACCACAGAAATTTGAAATTGCCTATATTTGACTTAACCTGCTAACGATTTCAAAATGCTCTAAAAAGAAAAATTCTTGTTTCCACAGGATAATTTCACCTTAGATCAACAGTATGCAACCTCCCGATGTTACCATATCAATTTCAAGTCATTCTGATTTTGCCTTCCAAAATAATGGCCTGTTGAAAATGCCCATAACTTACCTAACTTTCCATGATTTCAGAACGCTGGGTAACGCTCTGTATCTTTAAGTGGTGTTTAGGGGTGAGAGCCGCTGTGGTTTCTAAACCACTTTGCAGTAATGCCACTAATACACACATTTATTGACTTGCTGTAGTGGTGGCATCCCATTAAAGTACCAGGGACTCTTTAAAATGACCGGCTCTATGTGACAAACTATTGCTGGTAGCTAGGAAATGTATTCTCATTAATTGGGTTAAGGATAACCCCCCTCTGTGACTTTGTGGTACAGAGAATTATTTAAAGTTATTCCTCACGAAAGAACTGCTGCTATTTTAGGAGGAAATGAGGGTCTCTTTCTCAATGTTTGGTCCCCTTTGTTTTCTTATTTGCCAAATGATTTGTCCCAACTGTTGAGGGGGGGTGGTTGCAATTAAATAGGAAGTAAGCGTAAAGGACAACAATTCATTCTTGGAGTTTATCTTTTTCTCTTTCTAAATCTGTGGGT